CCGTATTCACTATATTCTTATATATTTAAGTGCATCTGAGGCAATTATTAGACAGTTAACTCATAGGTCGCTCTTTATTATTTTTACTACAAAACACAAGAACTGAATGTGACTCAAGTAGAAAAACTTGCAGTATCTGAAAAGCCCGTTTTGGCTGCAATCAAAAGTAAAGTCTATCCATAATTAAAAAGAATATCTTTGCTTTCAGCCATCATTTAAAATGTGCATGTAATTATTCCCCCAAAACCCCTTTTTACCAGGAAACAAAAATTTGCTGAATTCAGTCCAACAAATTAACTCCCAAAAAATGGTTAAAAAAAAAAATCACTAAAGTCAATCACGACAACATAAAACGTAGCTGAGCACTTGAGAGAAGAGTTGTGCTATGAGTGATCTCATCTTATGCTTATTAATTGACCTTCTGAATCCTCTGTATTACATTTGTTTCTCACAATGAACAGATGAGTTCTCAAGTGAGTCTAAAGTATATAGAATTAGATTTCTGAAAAAAAAAAAAACAAACAGATCCCTCAGAAGCGCAAACAATGATCATATACTGGCAAGATAAACATGATTGACGTAGTTGATAACTATTTTGATAAAACAAGGATTCAGTTATGCCCACTGAACTTTTGAATCCAAGATAAAAGTCCAATATATTCCAGCCTAATCTCTAAAAACGGAAGAAAAAACAAAACTATCATGTTCATACTCACCGGAACTTTACTTCCGACTATCTGCATGCAGTGGTCAGCCAAGAGAGGTTATTGTGTAAAAAAGATAATAATAACACATAAATAAACACAGCAAAGTACTTAGTAGGATGTAGCATCACACAAATTTTTCAGTGTTTAATCATTAGTAGCAGTTATATTCTTTTATCGAACTGTTTAAGAGTTACAGCTTCTCAACAGGAAAACAGTAGTTCTACTGTAGTAGAAGTAATCTAAAATTCTTATGTTCTGCAGCTGAACCATCAGTATTTTACACATTTACAAACAAGTAACTAAATACCTAGCTTGACATCTACGTCTTGAAAGATTAAGAGATGCCATTTTGTTAAAATTACCAGGTTAGATATTTTATATATAACACTGAGAAAACTACAGAAAAAACTAACGACATACTGACTTCCTTGTACACATAACAACTTCATTTATTATGGAGCTTTTGATCTATTTAGATGATGTCATCACTGAATTTAATTAAGTTTTCATAATCAAAAACATAGCCTACAGTTATAAATCTAACTTGCATTTCAGAAAATCTCATGTAGCATTTCTCTTCAACTGCTCAGTATGGATGCTTTTAATTACATGGATAATTATACAGTGATTTTCAGAATGACATCTCTTTTTTTACCATGGAACAGCATCTCTGAATATTCATGAACAAGAAGTTGACTTTACACAGAAGAAACTGCAGAAAGGCAGAACACCTCTGCCCTGTTCTATCACTTTGCACAAATGACCATGTTCCTGTGAACACCAGGACTATCGATTTCCTCTTAAATATTGTAGGCCTCTTCTTGTCAGCTATTTGCTGCAACCTCATAGCAGCCAGTTTATTCAATAACCACTTTGATCTTATTAAGAGCCTGAGACAGTACGATTTTGTTCCAAGATCTGAACTCGATTGTATCTCTACCTGCTTCATTTTCTACTCTTATCACTTCCATTGTTCTTTTAGGTAGTCTTTCAGAAGACAGAAGTCCCTGCAACTGTTTCACAATCACCTCTTCTCTCCTCTTCCTGATTAAGCTTCCTCCAGAAGCAAAAGATGGACTGTCATCACCAGACAATCTCTTTTCCTAATTTACTGCCACCTCCGCTTACCAATGTTCAACTCATTCAATATGGCATGAGATGTGACCAAGTTCAGTACTAATACAGAATTCTGAGCCTTCACCATTTCCCAAGCACTATTTCCATGGACAACAATCATTCTCTTTGAGTGAGAGAAGGAATCAGAAGCACAGATAATCACTTCACATGAAAGCATGCAGCTTATTAGCTGCATCCCCCAAGGGAAAGAAAAGGGGTTTTTTCATCCATTGAAAGCCAAGGCTTCTTTCTCACTCAGAACTCTGAAGACAGTATAGTGTTTCAGAAAAGCATGGTCAACATACTGCAGATGGCACACAAGGCAGAGAAAATGAAGCACCAAATTTGAAAATAATTTGATTAAGACAACATCAGCAAATGAGAGTGATATTTTCAAATGAGTGGAGAGAGCTCAAAAACCTAATAAAAACAAATGTGAAATGAACTGGAAGAAGTCACATCAACTGTTAAGTGTGTTTCATGACCTCTAAGCAAAAGAAAAGGCCTAACTATTTTCAGTACGAAAAAGGAAGCCAGATGGACAATTATCTGTGACCAAAGAAAAAAGGTAGAAAATTTTAAGAAAGATCATTCTGAATGCAATCAGCATTTTCATGGAAGACAAGCCCGAAGATGGCCTGAAGAAAAGCAGGTTTGATGATTCATGATGCAGTAAAAATTGGTTAGAGCTTGAATTGAACTAAGCAGAATAGTAGTTTAACTAAACAAAAGACAAAATTAACAGTGAAAATGCTTTATTGTAAGATCCCAATCAACATTTTGCAATTGAGCTCTACTTTTCATATTTTTTAAATCAGTTAAGATGCTAGCTATTTAAAAGCTAAATTATTCCATTCAAATGCTGTGATTCAATTGCAAGAAGGAGTTGCTGAAGCACACAAACTTCAACAGGAGCTCTTTTTCCATTAGGAAAAACTTTTTGCGTATGTATAAAACATCCATACTGGCGCTGACTTAAGTTCAAAGAGCACATTAATACATGAGGACATCTGGGGATTCTTTTTATTATTTTTTTTTAATTGTTAGTACATTTCGGCAAACATATCTTCAGTTCTGTTAAGTTTTCCATGCTGCAGCACATATGGTGGCAATAATGCAATCTGTTAAGACATGCAACGGTAGCCATGCTTTTCTTACTCAGCTACAAAATTATGGTACTTGAGGCAGCTATATTTCATATCAGTATATATAGAGAGAGATCACCATCATCCAACTATGCTTTGGGAAAGAATTGCAAGTACTTCCATCACAAAAGTTTCTACTTCTTCAATAAACCGGTTTTGCTTACTACAAAAAACTTAAATCTTAAGATTGATCATGAAGTGATGACAAAAATTTTACAGCACATAATCAATAGTTCCCAAAGATAGTCTAGGTAAAGTATATTAACAGGAAATTTCATATTTGATGCATAAGCTTGAATAATTCTCCAGTATCTTGTACGTTTAGCTAGACCATGCTTTAAGGACGGGATTCCTTCCATGACAGACTAAAGGACTGTGGAATTTTTTAAGATGAACTCATGCAGGAACATCACTTCTCTCAGAAACAGAAATCCCCATTTTCACATTATAATGCAAGTTTTTCCTTACTGAAGTTTATAATGTTTAATGCAAAGCATTGGCATTTAATAATTGTATGCCATTGTAGCTCTAATTCTTTGAAATTTAACTCTGCAGAGATGATTTTAAAAGTTAAAAGACAATTCAACTGTACCATTCATTAGGCAGACACCAACATAATCTTATTTGCCAGTTTATTTCACTAAGAAACACAATTACTTAATGCTATCTGTATTTAGCACTCCAACTCAGCTCTGTAGAACTGCTAGCAGTGCTGCCATTACGTATTTGAACAACTATTCCACACATAGTCTTCATTTCCAGTAACCTTTTATTGCACACAATAATTTAAGCATGAAAAAAGTTCTGATTCATCCTAGTTGCCAAATAAAATCATACACATTACCTAATTTTATTAAAGAACTAAGCTGATAGCACATTTTATCACTTGAAGCATACTGCAGCCCCTTGGATACAAAGATACCCACCACCACCACCACTTCTCCCCAATATTGCAATACATTCAGTTCCTCAGAATTCACCAGTAGCTACTTTAAAATTCTTTATACAACAAATAGTGACACAAATCAGGACAAAATCTGTTTCTAGGGAAATCACAACATATATGTGTATCTCTGTTTCATTCAACATCCATGAATTTGTGGCATATTCTTTTTTCAAATAGTAAGAACTATATTTGCCATAGTGAATTTTTAAGAGACAAAAAGCATTACTGTTGCATTTTATAACTAATTAGTACTAGTAGTCCCACTACTGTTAGTCCCACTGCACAAAATAAATTGCAGCTCTTCACTATTTGAAATTGTATTTTCCCACCCCAACAAATGTGGCATTCAGTCATTCTCTTATACTTCTGGTACCCCAAAACAGACAAGACCTCAAAAATTCTGCACGAAGGATCCATCAACTAAGGGGTAATCAATCAACTTAACTACAGAGAATGATCAACATGAATGAAAGGTCTGAATACATTTTTTTTCTACTCAAAATACACTTTGAAACCCATTTTTTCACTAAAGGAAATAATTTTATTTACCTTCAGAACATTTCTTAGCAGAGTATTTAATGCAGTCTTCAAGTCAGATACAGTACTCAACATACTCAAATTAAGCCAAAATACTGACTTGACTTCAATTTTAGATACTTTCAATATTTTGATTCCCTGCTTCTAACACTGCAAACTGTACATCTAGTACATATGTCATTACTGAAACCACAAAGGCATGCTAATCCTTCCAAAAACTTTCAGTACCCAAAATTTGTAAGACGAATTCCACAGAAATACGCTCAGGTTCCATCCATTACTCTACATTATTATTGGCTTTGCAATTTCTTATGGTTTACAAGAAAGCATGAAGTTTTTACATTGCCCAATAACTGAAATACAAACTAACCCTTCAGACGCAGCTGCAAGCGTTTAAAAGTTTATTAGTGAGTACAGATTTTTTTTTTTTTCTGCCAGTCTTCGAAGTTAAATCCAGACAAATAACCTGAAAGTTTCAAGCTTGAAAAGCGTAACACTTACGAAGCTAAGCTTCTTACTTTCGTCTGTCTTGGAGAGGTGACTACTTACGGATTTGGCAGTTGCAGAAATGTACTGGACAACCATCTCCCGTTTTGTGGTCAAGTCTTTATCTCTTAAAGGAGCTTTACGTTCTTCATTTAGATTCATGTCCTCCTGTACAGAAAGAGAGCACACAACATCAAGATTGTATTTCCCACTTTTTATTAGTCTTTGTTATTTTTATACTCCTTTTCTTAAACAAACGGCTCATTTTTAAACAAACAAATTACTTTTTCCAGCTTATCTGCATTTCAGTTTGTTTAATCCTGAGCTACTCAATTTTGTCCTTTAATTCTGTCACTTCAAGTGTTCACTGTTTTCAAGACTTCGCCAAAATTGTAATTGCATCAAGGGTAGTTACCATTAGTAAAATTAGGCTCAAGAAATAAAACTAGAGGACAAACACAAAAATTCTACACCTCAAGTTGATCACATAAGTGTTAACTCTTGTGAAGTTCCTGTGTTTTTTATAAAAATCTTATCACAACAGACACCACTCCTGCATTATCTATGCAGAAGGCTGTTACCACATAGATTATTAGCTTGTGGCAGGAGTAGATACGAATGTGTTCCAACTTACGTATTTAAAACAAATGTAAAAATCCAAATATTCTGCTAGATTAAGATGCCTCTTTCCACTTAACAACTGATTAAACATAACATGTAGTCATTACTAGTCACAACTAGTCTTGCCATTAAAAGTCAAAGTACTTCAGATTAGCAGACCACTAAATGTTACTGTAGTGACTTATTAGCTACCAGCTTATTCAAAGAATTATGAGTCTCTGGAAGGCAGATCTATTGTCTGTTTCAATTAACATGACTTGGAAAATTTAAAAATTTATCCCTTAATCCAACATGCAAATCAAGGAAGTACTGATTAACAGTTATCCAGTCTTTCAAAAGAAATTCACAACTTCATTGAACAGAGTAGTTACACAACGGAATGGGACAGTTCTTTGGCCACAGTGACTATACGGAAGTTTACAACAATTTTAAAGAATGATACAGAAAACAGCATTTTTAACAATACTCGAAACACTGCATTTCCTGATACTTCATGTATCTACACCAATGTGCACGGCAGAACTAATACACACCTACTTCAAAAGTTTGTTTCTGTTTTACTAATAGAAAAGCTTCCTTGTGAGTAGACTGCAAACCTTGACAAGTGACTCTACATATAGATTCACAAGACATACAAAACCTCAGTCTTCTACACATTAAGATTTTATTAATGGAAATTACTGTTTTCCAAAGGTATTTGCTTAAGTTTATTAAAAACTATCCTTCAACAGCAGTATCTAACTACTGCAACAAAGGTCTACAGAGGTTAGCTTAATGAAGCAATCAACAGCTTGGGATTTTTACTTTTGTCTTTATGCCTTTGTTTTCTCTGCAGAAGTAAACCAAGTAATTTAAACATATATAATACTAGGATTCTATGAGTGACTCAACTGTTTATGTGCCAATTGAGACAGGTCTATCAGGTCTATGCTATGTTACACCATCCCAAGTAGTTAATACTTCCAAAATTACAACATTTGAAAATCACTACTACATCACACACGCCAACATGAAAACAAATTAAAACCTCATAAAACTATGTAGTACATCATCTTACCATCATTTTTTCAAAGAGATCCATAACTTCTTTTTCTGATAAGTTCATGCAACGCTCATCAACAAGTGCCTGGGCAAGTGGGATTTCACTTATAGAAGGTTGAGAATCAATAGGATGCTGAATGAGAGGTTTCTCTTTTTTCACTGCTGATTTTCTGAAGCTTGTTATTCTGTCACGCTGCAAAGACATCCATTTAAAAATAAGTAGAAATAGAAATATAGGAAAGAAGCATAATTACATGGCAGTAATACACACATTTTTAGTTAATCCAAGCAGCAGAGTTAAAACTCAAATTGAACTGTAAGTAAAAATACTCTAACATTCAGAGATTACTTTTCATAGAAAGACAACAACATTTAAGGTAAATTCATGACAGGTCTCATGCAAAAGGGATATAACTATCTCTCACAGTTTCAAAAGCATACCATCTATGTTAAACTCTTAGCATTTCAAAACTCTGAGTTCATCTTCTCACATTACTCCCTAATTATCCTGATAGTGAATAAATATGGTACCACAAAGGTAATGTCCAAGCGTTCCTTCACCTGAAGAGCTATAAGTCTTTGGAGGACAACTGAAAAAGCCAGCGTTGGGAAGGAGGTACTCACAAGTTCATCAGGCTTATTAAAAAGTCCTGCTAAAGTAAAATAAAGTTTGTAGAGGAATTAATGCTCGAAGTATAGTTCACAATTCCTTGAAGTGTTTTTTGAGTACGGACTCCTGAAATTAGTGCATAATTTTAAAAAGCCAGGTAACGGATTACTCACGAAGCAGCCATCCATAGTTAAATACACATAACAGACATTAGTGAAAGCACATCATACAGTCTGCAACGACATTTCACTGGTTAAGGCTGACTTGGTTTATGCCTTACACCAAACCCCCCCGCCTTTTTTTTTTTTTTTAAGCATGCTTGCTCAGTTAATTTGTTAATATTGGAAACAACCAACAAGAGCACCTTCCTTATAAGGCCATTTATTACTATATTATTAATATATAACTATTCTGAATACAATCAGAATTTTTTTATTTAATAATACTCTTTAACTATATATATGTTCATTTTGAGAACATTATGTCTATAGCAATTTTTCTAAAGTAACTCTTTACATCAACAAATACTAGTGTATTTGTTTCAGGCACTGAACAGCCTTATGAAGACGTGCTTTCATCTAATAGCAGCTTATGTAGGGTTACCAGTATCATTCATAGCAGCTATTGCAATCTCTACAAAGACATGTAAACCAAAATATATATTTTCTATAACTAAACAACTTCTGTGAGGTGTGAAAAGTTTAATGGAGTATTTCATTTGTATAGAATTTGGATTCATTTTAGACTAGGCCAGTCAGGAGTGGAAAAGTTTGACCAAGTGCTGTGGAATACGGGGAATAAAGGTTCCTTCTTTTTTTCGTTGTTGTTTTGTTTTGGGTTTCTTTTGTTGTTTTTTGAGATCCTACAAATTTTTGAAGGAAAGTATCCCTAGATAAGCTGCATGCCCTTTGACTTTTTTTGGAGGTTTTCTTTGTTTGTCTGTGTTTTGGAGGGGAGAGGGGTTGGGTTTGGGTTTTCCTTCTTCCTTAGGAGTCTTACATTTGTGGACAGAAACACATTACCTACAAGGATACTGTTAACGTCTTTAACAAGACAAGAATATTATTTTAATCCCATTTTTTTTCCTTATTAGAATAGTTTACAATACCTTTTTTGAAACTAAAATTACGGCATAGCCTATTGAAAAGGCCAAAGTAACGACATAATGCCTGACACGCAGTATCCAAAATCAGCCAATATACATCAAACGCAGTTTTACTCTTCACTTACATTAAAAGTCCCATGCAGCAGTCACAAAAAACACATTTAAGATCCATTTCACCATACTGCGATCTGTTTAAAGTATACCTTATTAACAACAAATTTGTTTAATCAGATTGCAATGGTGAGATCACCTTAAAGCCATAAATTAATCTTCTACATGATCACTAGGTACAATTTCTTCATTTCATATAAGTGATGATTAACTAAGTGGCCAGTGTAGTTTAACTATTATATACAGTAAATAAAATTTTATAATTTTACTGAAACAAATTTTGGTATGTTTCTGTAAAAATACTTTGCAACAGGTTTCAAAGTATTCAGAACTACAAAGTTAGTGCTACTAAATACAAATTTGTTGTCTGATATACAGTACATGCTTATTACCCAAAGTGATTCCACTTGAATCACGTGGCAACTAACTTTTAAGAACCACTGCAGATCCTTTACTGTTAAAAAGAAAGTCAAGAGAAATGACACTTGAACTGTTGAATAACAGTTTCAACATATCCACAGCATTACTAAAGTATTTAGAATGCAGTTAAAGAAGCTTCTCCAAATAGATATCACCAATTAGTCTTCTTCAACTGAAGTTACAAATTAAGATCTTCAGGAATAGTAACTCAATTTTCCAAAATCTAATGCCTAATATCCTTATAAGAACATGTTACATTGTCCACAACATTTAGTAAAACAGCATGCAGCGTGGAGTTACCATTGCAAATTAAGATGTTACAAAGACCTTACCACATCATCTGCCAAAGTTTTTATTTGAATATTCTATTAAAAAAAAACACACACACATAAATCAAAGAAAAAGTGTTATCTACTGTTTCAGAATAAAGAAGTCTATATTTCATGTATTCTAACATTAAAAAGCACTTCAAATTTCAGTAAGTGTTCTAACAAAACTGCAGCTAAATCAGTTCACCTTGTCTTCTATTTAACTAATGAACCCAAAACCTGTATAGCTCTAGCACCCCCACTATTTCACAAAAATACAGTAAGACCTCTTTAGAAATTTTCCAAATCAAACATGGACTACTGGGCTTCAAACGGAGCCAGCAGATTGCTATATGACATTCTCAGTTTTGACAGAGTTTTTGAGACTCAGAGTTGAGGAGAATTTCCTGTGCCCTAGCTTCTTGAGCCTTCTGCCAATTTCTCCTTAACACCAAGTAATGGGAACTGATAGATTTAACTGGTTAAAGCCAGTGTATTGATGATGCACAAACCAGTCACTACGATCTCTCCCTCCCTACTACCCTCTCACTTTTTCCTTAACAGCAGTACCTGTTTGCTTTTGAAAGATCTTGGGGGGCAGGCCAAAAAAAAAAAAAAAATCAATTTGTATTGCATACCAATATCAATAACCATATCAAGGAAGCATTCTATTAATAAACATTGCTCAATTTACACCAAGCAGTCATGAACAGGTAATTAAGGCCTAGAATTTTGGGGAGGTGGGGGGTAGGGGTGTATCCAAGACAAACAGAACTGTTGTATATGAATAAGTGTGGTAGTTGATCCATAATGACACAGTGCTGCAAGTCACTCGTTAGGAAACAGTGACCCTAATTTCTTGGGCAGAAAGGTTATAGCTTCTTTGGTTATGCTCTCACCAGCTGAAATGATTAAGGTGCTTCTCTAGTCAACATCCCATACCACTCTGTATTGTTAACACAGTGGATGAGTTCAACATTACTGGAAATGAACCTGTAACTGTTCAACATACACCACATAGCATTTTACTTCCTCTCAGTGGAACATATTAATACACCATGCTCCTTCTAATTCTACTCTCTGTCTCTTGGCTTCAGTTGTCAATATTGCATTTCTGAAACAAATAAACTTGCAAGACCATACAAATAGTGGAGGAGGCATCAAGGTGGAAAGGAGGGGCAATGTACTCACACTTTAACAGTGTAACGAAGATAAGCATTCAGAGTATCCAGGACACTGGGGTGGACTGACCCTGGCTGGCGGGTCAGTCCCCACCCAGCCCCTTGCAGAGCAAGAAGAACTCAGCCCTCACCACCAGCCGACCAATACCTACCCCTGAGCAACTGCTACTTCAGAAAAAAAAAAACCCTCCCCACCCTGCCACCCATGGTTTTATTGCTGAGCATGATGTTATACGGTATGGAATATCTCTTTGATCAGTTTGGGTCAGCTGTCCTGGCCGTGTCCCCTCCCAACCTTCGGCCCACCCCTGGCAGGGTGGGGAGGTAGCATGCTAAGAAACAGTAAGCTTTGACACTAGGTAAGTGCTGTTCAGCAAAAGCTAACACACCAGTGTTTTATCAACACTGTTTTGGTCACAAATCTAGAACACAGCACCACATGGGCTTCTATGAAGAGCATGAACTCCATCCTAGCCTGACGCAGTACAGACAGCTAGGATAAAAATATTTTTCTCTTACTACTCCAGATGTTGACACCAACCTTTCAGCTTCCTAACTGCCGTATCTCAAACATCTTCCTTTCAGCTACACCTCTCCTGTATTTTCATTACCTGGACTTAGTATGCACATAAAAGAGGACATTATACTCTAATCTTCAAATCAAAACTAAGGTGTCCTTTCCCTGGTAAATGGACCTTTTCTTTTAATGGAGATTATTGAGCAAGAAGTCCAAATGAAGTAAAGCCTAACCATTACTTCAACCCAGAGACAGGTATGTAAGCAAGAAGTTCTAAAACTCTGTATCTGTCTTAGCAGTCACTTGTACTAGGAATATTTTTTTTTTTTCCCCTTTCTCATTTAAGTACTGTCAATCTCTCCCAGAACTTGAAACAGGATAATCTGCTCCATCTCTAAGTTTATATTTATTGCATTTGTCACTCAAATTCCTCTCGGCAAAATACAGAATACTAAAGCAAGATACCACACAGCATTTTTTCAGACAGCTCAAGCGCACTTCCCAGATCTCCTTATGGTGCATAAACTACACTGCTGCCAGTAGCTACTCAAGATAAGCAACTTATTTAACAGGTAGAAGAGAAACCACAAGTAGCTGGAGGCACAGGCAAGGTAGTTATGTACCTGCAGACTCTCACTGACACATAATTTTGACAGTCCCTTACACTAACCAGGGAATCACGCTTCCAGTCTGATTTAAGAACATAAATCAAAAGTAGTTTCCCTCCCCAGCAGTTTTTGTAGTCAGTCCTCTAGCATTACTCTTTCAGCCATCTATAATACAGCCAGAGCACCACAAGATTAAAAGAAACCCTTTCCCAGCTTGTTAACAACACTAACTCCCCGATTCTAGAAGCAGCCCAACGGCAAAGGCTTTTCAAAAAACCTCTGTAATAAGATATTAGCAGATAAGGGCTATCAAATTCACATATATAAACACAATTTAAGACAGCAGCATATCACCTCTCTCTCCTAGTTTTGAATATCAACACAAACCATGGAACTTCATCAACTCTTATATCAAAGAACTATTTCCTACTGATTTACTTAGTTCTTCACTTTGAAGACTTGACAGAGCTTCTCCCTTTTGAACATAGTCTTTCCAATCCATCAATAGTTAAAAATATCATTTTCTATTTACTCCTCACAATTTCAGTTTAGTCTAAGTATCCCACTACTTGCATAAGTACTGCAGATGATGACAATATGACACACAAAAATCATAGCATATACTAATGCAACTACATCACATTACTATCTTAAAAGCTCAGTCTCAGCCATGCTATTGGTCATATGAATCACAGAATGGTTTGGGTTGGAAGGGACCTCAAAGATCATCCCGTTCCAATACCCTGCCATGGCAGTGACACCTCCCACTAAAGCAGGTTGCTCAAGGCTCCATCCTACCCGGTCTGGAACACTGCGGGAGGGAGGGAGGGAGGGAATCCCAGAGGAATTGAAGTCTTGTACACAAAAACAGTAGACAGATTTTCACTGCAGTCACTACATTTATTGGTATAAAAATCACTGTTTTCTCATCCAAGCTCAGTTCAGGCTACTGCTGTGCAAATGTCAATGTTGAAAGAATTAAACAACTTGAGGTGAGTGCATTAACTTTTAACGCAGAACTCACTATGAGATTACTTTTTTAAAAATCTTTTTCTAACTTATGTATTAAGAAAACCTTCCAAATCACTTGACCTGGCCATGAGTTGTAAATTAAGGTGCATTTACGTGGGCTGATTGACCATTCCATTACATTTCAGTATTACTTTGCCACATACTTAATTGTTACACTTAAGACTCTCACTTCCACCACAAAAATAAAATCAAAAGCAACTCACGTTTACCACAGGTATGACAACACAATGATCAGCTGGGTAACTTCTAAACGTAACAGCAATTTTCACTGCACTGCACACTGCTCAGACAAATCATGGTGTGCAGCAACACCCAGTTCTGCACATAGGCTACAACTTTACGTAACAACTCCAACTGCTACTACCAATCCTAATTTTCTAAGGGTAACAAACAGACACTTGACCTTCTCTTAACCTTTTTGGGTTTTAACCTAAGATTATATGACTGTTTTCTAAAATTTACCTGGACTTCAACACCTTCAAAAGCCATTGTAAAACTTCACTCAAGGTTAAGTGTTTTTTAACTGGCTGCAAATAAATTTGCATACAACCAGGAAGGGAATAACTTCCCATATGAATACCTGAACCAAGGGAGTTTAAAGGGACAAACCCCAAAACTGGTTAATATCTGAAGTACAAAAAGTTGTGTGCAACTCAAGTCTAGGTCTTACAGCCACTAAACAGAATTCACTCCTGCAACCTCTGTTCTTCAGTACAGAGAATGAGTAATGTTCCCATTAGACAATTCAACCATCTGTTAACATACTCAATTTTGTAATTAAATGTAAAAAGGTATCTAGGAAATTGTGAAAAGATACCCAAGTCACATTAGCTGATGTGCAGAAACTAAAACTGCACACTCATTTAGGACTTTCAAGATCTTTCTCCATGACAAAGTACACCTGTCATTACTAATTAAATTAGTAAAAGTATAATTCACGAAATGGTTGCTTTATAGTAATTTTTTTGTACTTCAAGAAGCATTCACCGTGCTTTCAAAAAGAACTTGAAATTATTTGTAATCTATCTGGTATATCAAAGATACTTGAAGTAAGGAACACTAATAGTTTCGTTCTGTGGTTGTACATTTCCATTTGGTCTATGTGACACTCCATGGAAAATTCTGCTTTACTTTGCTTTGCAGTGTTCACTTCACAATTTTTTTTTTAATACACATTATTTAAATCATTAAACTAAGGCTCAATCTGTAACCTAAATACGAAGGTAAACATTCCCTGGGGCACTACAAAGTGAGACTAAGGAGCATGTGAACACCTTACACCAGGCTGCCAAAATGAAGCTGGAAAGTTCTTCCTGTTGACAGCACAGTCAGTGCTCTCAGACTGGAGGACAGCAGCCATCTTCCCAACCAGGAAGCTGCTTGGTTTTCCCCAAGTACTCTTTTCTTCCCCAGAAGACTGACCATCCAGGAATGAGCCATACCAGCAAAAGTTGTCAAACAACGCCTCACACTAAATAAAGCTAGAGGGTCACCCAAGTTGGTAATTATTAACAGCAGAGGGCACCAACTCATTAATCATAGTGCTGGGAGACAAAGTGCCTCAGCACTGCTCCCAAACAGGAGGGAAGGGAAAAGAGGGCAGAGGCGCGTTAATCATACCGGACACTCGCCCTCACAAATGCCATTGTCTGATCCTCAAAGCATGAGGGAAAGGGGCACCTCCACACTGTGCCTCTGCGCAAGGGGAACAGAGAGATC